TACTAAAGAAATTAAGGGTAAAGGTAAAATAAGTAAGTACTAAACTAACTACGAATACATAAATAAGTTAGTGTTGTCTCTCTCTCTCTCTCTCTCTCTCTCTCTCTCTCTCTCACACACACACACACACACAAACACAAATATGTGCATAAGATACATGATATATCATCATACATGCACACAAACACATATAAATGCACACGTTCACATTTGCAAAAAATTGCTTGCAGGTGCACATAAAAATTCAGACAAATGCACACAAACATTCATACAAAGATGCATGTAAACGCACACACATTTCGAGTAACAATTGATAAAATTATACACACACATGTAAGAAGAGGAAAAACCAACAACCACAGATGATCATGCACACAAATACACACAGGCATATGCATGTATCTGTGAGAGGGGTTAGTTAAAGGGTAGCTTAGCAGATAAATTTTAGAGTCAATAATTTAAGATATTTTATTTCATTAAGGAAATGTCAATAATTGGGTAATGGAAGTCTTGACCAACAAATTGTTACTCATTGAGAATGGATTGATTATTGAACAAAGGAAAAGGATGACAAAGCATTGCATTTTAAGTTATTTCTTTGTACTCAGTTACTTCAAGAAATTATTGGTGAGCCATATTCTATACAAAGCCAGAGTTGAGAAACGGCAGCTAAAGTTCAATGAACCTCTTCTCTTCTCCATGTTGAAAATAGGATCATACTTATAATATGAATTCAAAAATAGAGTTGTTCCACCAAACTGAAAAAGCAATTGGGTCCCAACATCCAGTAAACTTGCACGTTATGTTTTCCTAATCAACAAGATATAATGAATGAAATGCACATTATACCTTCTGTTTCTAAAATCCCTTATATTCTAAAGTACATACCTTTTCTTCTAGCTTCTTCTGATAATTTGAATTCACACCTAGAGATTCAAAAGTTTGAACTTCCTGAAAATTTCAAAGTTTTCACCTTGCTGAAACCCTCAAACCTTGCTTCAGCATAAAAAAATTGCAACCCTTTCATGAAATTCAGTCTGTTTTCTTGAATCAAACCAAGGGTATTTAAAGAAACCAATGAGCACAGGAACCCTTGGTAGTGTAAACCCGTTTTTGGTCACCAAAGGTATGTGTGTATAGTGCGTGTGTGTGTATACATTAAGACACACAGTATTGTTTGTTGGTTGCCAACACATAGCACTTGGAGAGAGAGAGAGAAAGACAGAGAGAGAGAGAGAGAGAACTAGTTTTCAGTTTTTACATCGTTTTAAACAGCTAATAAAAAGCCACCACCAGATTTTAAGAGAGATATATAGTAGTTTCCACATCAATCAGAACCCCACATATAATGACCACAAAACCAGGCCCAAAACTAGGGATTCAGAAACCCAAAATGCCACAAATGAAACCCACATAAAATGACCACAAACCAGGCCCAAAACTAGGGATTCAGAAAACCCAAAATGCCATAAATGTTAAACACAGATGACTACCTGATCAATTGCAGATGGGTTTTTCCCATGGTGAAAAGTGGAGACAAGTATGGCCAAAGCATGGACATGATTCATACTAACATTGAACTGATCTTGTAGCATTCTCGCCCTCTCATCACACATACTAGCAAGCGTCTCTTCATTCCTCGAATGGATATTGCTTTTCATGTGAAGAAATAACCATGCTGAAAACAAAAGTCCTTTAACAAGCCATAGAACCAGAAGTTTTCTCCTCCATTTTCCTCCCCCGCCTTTTGTACATGGTACCGGCACCTGTACCTGTAACTGAGGTTGCTGTTGCTTTGGATTGAATACCATCTTTCCATTGATAGAAGTCCCCTGTTTTACCATTCCTCTGCAATTCACAGCCATTTCTTCCAGGACCCACTACCATCTCTCCAGGACTTGAGTGGGTGGCTCAAGGATCCCCCAAATAATCACTAGGTAACTCATAAAAAACCCAACTTCACAGAAGGACAGATAAAGTAAGGGCACTACCATGCAAATCTTCATCAAAAACCCAACTTCACAGAAGGACAGAAAAAGTAAGGGCACTACCACGCAAATCTTCAGTCTCTTGAGTTCAGTACTTCATGGCCTTTCTCTGCAAAACCCATAACCATCCGTCATGAACTTGACTGATGACCAACGAATCACTCAGCAAGAAAACCCACCATCACACAGGATGAATAGAGAAAGTAAAAGGAACCCACCAAAATCCTCCAGTTTCTCAAGAAGTTTCTCGAATTCGAACTCAATAACTTGTGCTTTCTAAAGAAATAGCGCAGAACTCATCAGAACACAGAGCTAACTTCTTCGAAGAGAGAACAAAAGAAGGGGAGGAGAGAGAAACCTTCAATATATGAACCTTTCGGAAGAGTACAACCAAAAGTGCAGTCTTTATGCTCACCTTCTCTGGAGTTTTAGAAAGAGACAGGAACTTTAGGCCTTTCAAACCGTATAACCAGTATCAATCGTATTAATCCTCAGCTTTTCTGGATTTAGAGAGAGAAAGAGAGAGGAGGTGGATTTTTAGAGAGAGAAAGAGGGATCCAAAAAAGGTTTGAACTGTAGCAGAGCTAGAGGGCATGCGCGTGTTCGTAAGCTTATCTGAGTGAAAGAAATAGAAGAGAGTACAAAAAAAATATTATTTTCTTCTCTAGTTTGGAAAAGCTGGTCATGTAACAGAAGAGAGAGAAAGAACAGAGAAAGAGAGCGGCGTAGAGAGAGAAAGTGCCACAGTGGTGGAACTTCCTGTTTAATAAAAAGGTACAGTGTTTCTATAGCGAGAGAGATACCAATATTTACCTATGCTCATGCGGGTGAAAGCGACGGGGATTGAAAGAGAAACCAAAGGTGAGAGAGAAAATTAATTGAGTTTTTTAAAGAAAAGAAAGCTGATCACTGTGGCTCAATGTTCTTTGAGGTTCGATGCGTCTCGATCTCAGCTCTGTCTTTCTCTCTCTACAAAGTTTGGAGTTTCCTTCTTTTTTAGAGGTATTTTCTCTCTCTAAAAACAGTTGACAGTTCAGAGCACAGCAAAGCAGACGTCTCATGATCGGCGCATTAAATAGCCATCCACAATCATAGCATCGCCATTCCTTGTTTAATTTTTAGAAATCGGTAATTATCCTCGTGCCCTATTTAATTTTGAAATATAACATAATGCCCCTAATCTTTACTTTAATAATAAAGAAACCCTGTTTTTTTTTTTTTTTACAATATGATAAAGAAACCCTCTTATTTGTATTGTGCATGCACGTCATATTTCTTTGAATTTCTTCAAAATTTCGGCTCCGAGGGTCTCTATTTTCCTGCATAATTCAACCGCTATTCTAATGGAATGTCTGATAGTTTGTATAAGATCTCACATCAAACAATCAATGGAAGGCACACCTTTAAATTATATAAAAAAAAAAACTTTATTTTGGTATTGAAAACTTCTAAGATGACTTAAAAATCAAAATTTCCCCTAATTATAAAATTTAATGTTTCATAAATAGTGTCTATTGAATAGGTCTAGGAACACATAAAATTTAAAAAATAGACGATAGCGACGGTACGACTATTTTCAGGACTCAAAATCCCTCATCTTTTTATATCAATACATTCACTCAAAAAAATACATCTCTAGGTAGAGATGATCAATTACAACAGTTTTTTTACATCGAAACAACATTTATAAACCGATCTTTTAGGTACACCTTAGTTCAAAAGTGTAAATTTTGTTATGTAAGGTTACGTATCTTGTGAAGGAAATGAGTTAGAATCGTGGTGGTAGCATCCACATACCCGATTACCACATTGTGGTATCCATTCCTACCGTTGACATTTCCAATTAACACCTTCAAAATGTAACTCTCAAATCTATTGAAAAAATAGGTAAGGGGCATATCTCTCCCATTAATTACCCAAAAAAGCCAATCTATTGAAAAAATGGGTAGGAGCCTATATGCTATGGATACATATACATACATATATGTATTTGTATATATATATACCTCTTAATTAAATGAGATGTCATCCTATGGATATACATCTCTTGATTATGATAAGTTTCAGTCCAATTTATTGGAAAAATGGGTAGGGGCCTATCTACCCACTAATTACCCAAAAAAAACCAATCTATTGAAAAAATGGGTAGGGGCCTATACGCTATGGATACATTTCCGTATATATATGTATTTATATAGATATATATCTCTTGATTATTTGAGATGTCATCCTATGGATATACATCTCTTGATTATGATAAGTTTAGGTCCCACTGATACTTATAATAGGTATAAGTATCTATCTATTGATTATGATAAGTTTAAGTGTATATGTATAATAGGTATAGATATCTATCCATAACTGATACGAGCTAATATTTATATGTATTGTATAGTATTTGATCAATCAATATACAACATATCCATACGATGACACCTAATCTAATTAGGAGATATATAGCCAAATACATATCCATACGATACACATTATAAAAAAATCCCTTAAGAAAAAGTTCATGGGTGCCTTATGTTTTTTATATTTCTATTCATCCCATTAAACTTTCATGTGGTTGGGTTCCTGAGGCTCATGGGCATAATGGTTATTTTATGAAAGGCACGTCTTTTTTAGCGGCTCTAAGGGCATAGAGTCTTTATTTAGAAAACAAAGGTTAATGTTGACTGAAACCGATAAAAAAGTCACGTGGGTGATCTAAGACGAAAGCCCAGATATTTTTTAGTATCCCAATATGCCGCAAGGGCTCAACACCATCTCAAATGACAAAGATACCCAACAGAGTTTTTAACTTGCTTAGAAGCTACAACTATTCTATTGACCATTATGCCCCATTTAATTACCAAAAAAACATTCTAGAGCTCATTGTTTTGGGAACCATATAAAATTACTAAATAATTATTTTTAAACTAAAAAAATTAATTTTTGAGTTTCGTAATATTTTAGATCTATGAGGTATTAGTTTTCTAGCATATAAAGGGTGTACTTTTACTCACTTTATTCTATCCATTTTAAAGATTATATATATCAAAAACTTGAAATCGAAAACATATCCTTAGCATGCATTTGGGCGGAGACAATTATAAATAATATGTACCCGCGGGAGTAGGAAATCTTTTGGCATTCTTTTGTCGTTGGGGACAAAAATGTAAATAAAAAAAAGAGAGGGAAGAGTACGAATTGAGGAAGATGGGGGAGGGAGGAGACACTTGTCCTTGTTTTGACTCGGGGAAAGTGCTCTCTGTTTGGTGGGCCCCAGCCCTTCGCCTCGCCAATAAACACGTTATCTTTTCTTTTTTATATATATATTTACACCCCCAAATAATAATAATAATAATAAATGGATAAAAAGTGGAAAATAGACCAAAAATAAATAAAGGCAGAAGTGTATGCTCTTCGATTTAACCTTTACATATCTGACGGCTGTCAATGGAGCATGAGGCTCAAAATGATAAATAATATTGCTGGGAAAAGAATGATTAATTAAAAAATAAATAAATATATATATATATACCCTCTTCTAAAAGAGTGTGGTTTGCATAAGGTTGCAACCCAATTAAGGAGTACCTCTAAATTTTATCGTAATTGTAAATTTGAAATAAAAAATACTTAAAGAGGTTTGAGAATCTATTTTCATATCTAACTATAAATTTTTAAACTTAAAAAATTGTTCAAATCAAGTACATCTATGAACACATGGAAATCTTGAAAATTGAAGGTCCTGATAATATGTTGCAAGGAATACTATTTCGCAAACTCAAAATCTTTTTTCCTTTTTTTATTCATACATATCGATGTCAAGATGATCGATTAGAGGGTTTTCCCACATCCAAACAATGTTATATGATGGATTTGAAGTGGATCCTTAATTCTACATTTTAAGGTTGCAACCTTATTTAAACTTTTTCCTTTTCTAGAAAGATAACACTTCTAATGCATGTTTATCAAAAGTTTGACTTTCTAACATTGACTTCATGTAGATTAGAACATATCCTCTAAGCTAGTCCTTATTGTAGAAACAAAAAGCAATCCACGAAAAGCAAAAAATAAAAAACAAACACAAAAGAAAGAGACAATCAACCACAACGCAAAGATATACGTGGTTCGGCAACGTGCCTACGTCCACGGGAGATTAGAGCTTATTTACTGGCAATGGAGAATAGGATTACAATTCACTCTCTTCCTCACGCCTCTCTGTTTTTATTTAATTACAAAGAGATCTGTGTTTTTCCCTTAACCCTTAACTTTTAGATGAATCCCCAATCGCAACGATATATATCGAGTCCATGATAGATGGTACAAGTTATCAAAATACCCTTTTATGGATATATATCAAGTCCCAAATATATCGAATCCCATGTACGGGTATATCCGAATTTTTGGAGTCGTCTTTTTTAATCCACCTTGACAGATCTATTTCCTCATAATATAAGTCATCAATCCTCAACAATCTCCACATTGGTTTGAATTCTGTCAAGTCACCCTGAAGATTCTTTATCCTCGTACCTCCATAAAGATACGCAACTGCACTCCCACCTGCCATGGGGTGCTTCCCTCACTCTCAACAATGAGAGACATTAAGCAAGTCCAAGCAAAGCTTGAACTTCTCTATGGTGATCGGCTTTGTAAGTATATTTGCAGGGTTGTTATTCATATGAATTTTCTTCAGGCGAATGATTCTTTCTGACACAAGCTCCCTGATCTTGTGATATCTCACATCAATGTGTTTTGTCCTTGTATGAAACACTTGATTCTTTGCAAGATTTATAGCATTCTGGCTACACAGTGCAACATAATACCTTCTTGGCCCACCCCAAACTCACGAGCCAAACCAGTCAACCAGATCGCCTCCTTTGCAGCCTCAACTGCTGCTATGTACTCTGCCTCTATCGTAGACAATGCAATCGTGGGTTAAAGCATTGCCTTCCATGAAATAGGTCCACCCGCTAGTGTGAAGACATACCCTGTAGTAGACCTTTGCTTGTCTAAATCACCAACATAGTCGGAATCAACATATCCCACTAGTTTTGTAGAGCTTCTCTTCTTGCTGAACATAATTTCGAGATCTAACGTCCCGCTCAGATATCTGAAAATCCACTTAATAGCATTCCAATGCTCCCTTCCAGGATTACTCATGTATCGACTAACGACACTAACAGCATGAGATAAATCCAGCCTGCTACAAACCATAGCATACATGAGGTTTCCAACTACGCTAGCATAGGGCACCAGAGATATATGTTTTATCTCATCATCTGTAGTGGGACAATGCCGTTCAGATAGCTTGAAGTGACTCGCCAATGGAGTGCTAACTGACTTGGCCTTTCCATGTTGAAATGCTCCAACACCTTTTCAACATACCTTTTCTGAGTTACCTAGAGTTTACCTGTACTTCTATCTCTATGAATCTTCATACCAATTATCCTATTAGCAGCCCCTAGGTCCTTCATATCAAACTCAAAACTTAACATAGACTTGAGAAAAATTATGTTACATGCATTCTCGACAGCGATGAGCATGTCATCAACATAAAGCATCAGGAGAATAAGGGAACTTTAAAATAAATACAACAATCATACTCACTGCTTGAATAGTCATATCGCACCATGAAAGAGTCGAAACACTTGTACCACTGTCTGGGAGATTGTTTAAGACCATAAAGTGATCTCTTGAGTAAGCAAACTTGATCTTCCTTTCCATGCACCTTGAAGCCTTCAGATTGCTCCATAAAGATTTGTTCCTCCAAATCACCATGAAGAAACGATGTCTTCACGTCAAGTTATT